ATTTTTTCTGCGTTGCACTCACATTCGTACAGTCAATCCATACAAGGGAAACGTTCCCCAAACAACAGACTTGGTTATTCCTACTATATTCCAGGAAGCTGGCAAGGACAATATAGAAATCAAATAAAGGTAAGTAAAGTTACAGAGCCGTTAATAATCTTAACAATTTTTCAACTTAAATTGATAGAATTTAACAGTTTGGATAGTTTCAGCGGTTTCACTGTTAGAAGACCTGACCAAACCATCAAAATGGCTCAAAACTAATCAAAGTAATGAAAGAAAATTGCTAAAAAAGAATTTTAAAAAACCGACAAAACTGGTGACCAGTAAAATATACATTTTGCCTATTGGGGCAGTAAAAGTCGATACTGGAAAAGCATTTGAATCAAAATACGGTTGTTGTGGATATATAAGGAACTGAGCACATTAGGTGTAGGACATGAGGCAGTCTGACTCAAAAACAATGTAAACTAAGCAATATACTGTCCACTAGCTGCAGGTAACCTCAGGATACTTAAAAGCGTTATTTCTCAATTTATTTATTTATTTATTTATTTATTTTTTGCAATAGCTATCTAATTTTTCGAGCGCTGATTGGTTCATTTTTATCATCAATAAGAGTACAGTCGGATTTTCATTTATGTTAGCTTTCAAGTTCAACTTTTAGCTGTCAAACTGCCAACTTTTTAACTAATGAGATTTTATGGACTTTTTTAAGTAGCCAATCAAAAAGCGAGAAATTGTATTGACAATGTTGGCGTCATTTTGAATAAATTTCACTTGTCTTTGTTTACGGTAAGTTTACGGCGTCTTTTCCCCTCGGCATTTGACTATTTTGGGGTCTTGTTATTGTAAAATCAAATAGACGTAAGTTTTTTCATGCGTCTGCCCTCTTATTGATGATAAATTTCGTCATAACATTGTCAAAGTGGCTGTGGGACCCCAACGGGAAGGCGAGTGGTTCCGCAGCCACTTTGACAATATCATAACGCAATTTAACATCAATTAGAGGACAGATGAAGAAAAAATGACGTCAATTTGTTAAATGATGCATTGGTGTAGGGGTATGAAAGGCTGATACGATATAAAAAGAAGCAATACCGAAGAAGAAGCTTGAAGAAGCAAGAAGTAATCAATTTCAAGAAGAAATTATCCTTGAATTGAGTTATGACAATATATAACCAAAAAAGAAGGGCTGTCTTTAACAATTATTCCAAGAGCGCGCGTCGGATACATAAATAATAGCCTCCATTTAGCGCGGAAATATGGTCGGATATTTTCCCGCGGACATTATCTGTTTCGAGAAGCGAACAGATTTCAGAGAGCGTAGCTCAAGGAAAACTGTGAGCTTGGATGAACAGATAATGTCCAAGGACAAATATTCGAGCGGATTATTGCGCCAAATGCAGGGTATTGTGTCTATTATCCTTCAAATATTTTTCACAATATGCGCAGTTTTGAATAGCTGGGGAATATTCGGTCTCGTGATGTGTTTGGGCCAATTACGTGCGCGCGAAAGTATTTGATGGATTATAAGAGATCATAGATAGCCAACGAGGCGCATAGCATAAAGATGGCTATGATAATCTCATATCCAAGAAGCGCGAGTGCAATAATTGTTTTATTAAAAATGCCCCCAAATATTAAAAAAAAAAACTAAAATAAAACAACAATAAAACGCTCTAACAGTTATGCACACGCTAACCATATTTGTAGAGCATGGTATAATCGCTCATATATCATGATTGTTAAGCCAATGGAAATTCTTCAATTACATTATTCAGTGATCCAGTTTTTGATAAAGTGTATTATTAAATTCTCAACCTCGGATAATGCAATTCTAGCTTTCTGGTTGGTTCACTGGATCTCGGTTACCTGCCATTATACCCGCGTTTGACCTTATATGGAAATGAATGCGGTAAATGTCGCTCGGCATAAACGTTTTCGCGGGGAGCCAAGTTTTGTCGACCAAAACAATGAATGAAAAAACGCAGACTCAGTGAGCTATCTACAGAAGAAACACAGGAAATTATGGACAATGTCGTCCCAGTAACAACAAAAAAGCTACAAAGTTCGAGATTAGATTATCTAACGGTACGTATACGTTAAGCTTCCCTTAAAAGTTGCAAAATTAAAATATGACCGCCGAGATTTTACGCATTCATGAAGATTATTATATTTAACAAAATCAATGTTTACCTTAACAGAATTGCTTGCGAGTTCTGTTGGCATCAAATTTTCCAAACCGATGTAAGAAATGTTAAGAGAGGAACTTAATATTTGTTTGAAGTGTTTTTATACGTCTACTTGGAAGAAGGACGGCACGTATTAAAAAAGTGCATCCTCGAAATCCGTAAGAACCGCCATTGATCATTTCCTTCGCACCCCGCCGCAACACAAACAGTTTTCCACTATCTCTGACGAGGAAAATAAATTATTAGAGCATTTGTAAAAGGCCTCAGGAAAACAGGTAGCATTGCCGGCGTAGTCCATAAGAAACCAATTTCCAGTGAGCAGATGAGGAAACTCTTCAACTTAAGCTCGGTCGAGACCAAAAATCCGGAGCAGCTACAGAGGACGACCTAGTTTTATCTCGGTCTCTTTTTGGCTGACGAGGACGAGAGAATCAACGACAGCTAGCGCCAACAATTACGTCCTTGCAAAAAACACCTCAAGGAGTTGAGTGTTTTTAGCTCAACCGAAGTAAGCCCGGTTCCTTACTAGTCACGAAAAACCATCAGGATGGCCTCGGAGATTCTGAAGATGAATCTCACGCTCAGATAGTTTCTGTCCCTGACTTTGAATCTGGACAACACTGAGTTTCACACATACAGCTCGAAATGCCAAGGCTTTCAAAGAAAGGGAATCCTGAAAGAGCTCTTGTCGAGAATAATTTTGGCACAACGTCTGTGTCACATGGCGATCGGAATTTTCCGCAGCATTATTACAACGGCAATGTGCAAGTGCACAGTTATTCGGCTCTCTTCTCCATGACTTGAACGCTTTTCAAACTTTCTGACTAGGGATATATCTTCTTCATTTGATAGACGTTCCTTGAATTCTACTTGATTGTAATTTCATTCAGCAAATTCGCTTGCGTCGCTTTCAAATTTTTCATTCAACTAATTTTACAAACAGCGCGCATGTCATGTGATTTCTCACTTGTTGTTTTTGCCACATCGACTTCCGGCCGCCTAGTAAAATTAAAATCCAATAAAATTAAGCTATAACTTCGAAGTATATAAACGCACCTAGTTTAATAAAACAATTATTCCATTCGCGCTTGTTGGATATAAGATTGGTTATAGCCAAATCGGCCCTACGGGCCTCGTTGGCTATTTACCATCTCATTTCCAACGCGCGCTGATGGAACAATTGTTAATTATCTCCTACTATAAACGTAGGTAATTGGAGACAAACAAGGAAGCGGAACAGCTGCAATACTGGGACAACGAAAAGGCCTTCAAGACCTACAAGAACTACAGAAAACAGTGGAGGTCCCAGTTAAACTGATTCATGTCATCAGAAACCCGTTCGACAATATCGCTACAATATGCAAAAAATCTCGAGCGGTGCAAGATTAGAAACCAAGGAACAATGTAAGCCAATTATCGAGTAGCTTGTTGGTGAATTCAAAATTGTATATCATGTATATATATATGTTTTGTTTTTATATTACCCCTCCCCCCATCCCCACTTAAGCTTTATACTTTATACTATATAGCCAGGACCGAGCTGCACTAATTATATGTGTAACCTTCATCGCAACGGCCGCTTTCACGCAACTAGTAACA